CACACGATAAGTAAGGACGTAAAGATGAATATACGATAAACAGCAATAACAAAAACAATTGTGATTATTATAAAATTATAAATAAAAAAACAACAGCTATAAAAACAACACATTAATAAAATCGATGAAAGATGGAAAATATGTACAGCAATAAGAAAAACAATAATGATAACAATGACAATAAAAACAACGATGACAAATGTAACAACAATAGCAATAAAACAATGTATTAAGAAAATCGATGAAAGAAGGAAAATATTTATCCAGAGCAGGAGAGGAATATTTGGTGATTAGTTAAATACAACTAATTACACCGTAAACATGAAGAGATTAGGGTAAAAAGGTTTCAACAGAATTAGGGAAAAGAAAGGCATAAATGATTTCTCCTTCTCTTCTCTCTCTCTCTTCTTTCTCTTCTTTCTCTCTCTCTCTTTCTTTCCTTGCCCACCTGTTTGTCTGCCTGTACCCCCCACTCTCTCTCTCTCTCCATCCCCCTCTCCCTCTCCTCCCTTCCTCTCTCCCTCTTCCTCCCTGCCCTTCCTCTTCCTTCTCCCCCTCCCCCCTCCCCCTCCCTCTCCCTCTCCCCCACCCAATCCCTCTCTAATCCCAACTAATTCCTCAGGAACTAACCTTGCTCTGCCACCAAACAAGGTCACAGGGTATAGACATGTAACCTCGCCCAAAATCACCCTTTTGTTATTCGTAAACTGGTTGACCTCATCTGTCACAGCACACTTCCGTTCTGGACTTGGCCTAAGTCCGTGTTCAACCGGTCATTAGTCTGTATTACCAGTGGTTATCTTTAAGCCTTTCGCCGTGGAGTCAGTTTGTTTCATTTGGTGGGTGGAATGCGTATATATAAAAAAAAAGATCTTTAAAGTGACCATCATCATATATTTCTTATGTTTCATTATGATTATTATTGTTATTATTATTCGCAAGGATGGTTATGTTCTTGGTCGCGTTAATCAGTTAGTTAGTTAGTTAGTTAGTTAGTTAGTTAGTTAGTTAGTTAGTTAGTTAGTTAGTTAGTTAGTTAGTTAGTTAGTTAGTTAGTTAGTTAGTTAGTTAGTTAGTTAGTTTGTTAGTTAGTTAGTTAGTTTTTAGTTGTTTGTTCGTTTTGCATAACCCAAGACGTTAGATTTAGCTCATGATCCGGATACAGGAATTTCTTAAAGGGTTGTATCATTATTACCTTTATCACCTCCTCTAAGGCGGTTATTTCTTAAAGGGTTGTATTATTATTACCTTTATCACCTCCGCTAATTAGGGTGGTCATGTTTACGGACGTCACCAATGCACCAATGAGAAAGAGGCGATTTTAATGTAATTCTTCAGGAGTATTTTTATTGCATCAGTGATCCAATTGCCTTGGCGGTGGTATGCGCTCTTTGAGAGGTTGTTATTATTATCATTTTTATCATTATCGTTGTTATTGTTACTATTATTATCGTTATTATTATCGTTATTGTTATTATCATCATTATTATCATTATCATTATTATCTTAATTAATTTTAAATTTTTTTATCATTATTATCATTGTTACTACTATTTTTATCATTATTATCATTGTTACTACTATTTTTATCATTATCTACTCTACTATTTTTATCATTATTAGTAGTATTGGTGTTATCATTATTATTATCATCATCATTCTTATTACTATTATCATTTCTATTCTCATCATTATTACCATTATTATCATCATAATCATTATTTTTATTATTTTTATCATTATCAATTTTATTATCATTATTATTATTATTGTTATTATCATCATTCTCATTCTCATTATCATTATCATTATTTTTACTACTATCATAATTATTATCATTATTATTATTATAATTATTATTATTATTGTTATTATTTATCATTAATTATCATCCATTATCATTATCATTATCATTATCATTATCATTATCATTATCATTTATCAGTTATATTATTATTATTATTATTATTATTATTATTATTATTATTATTATTATTATTATTATCATCACTATTATCATTATTATTATTATTATTATTATTATTAATATTATTATTATTATTATTATTATTATTATTATTATTATTATCATTATTATTATTATTATTATAAATTATTTTTATTATATCAATATTATTATCATTATTATTATTATTATTATTATTATTATTATTGTTTTTATTGTTATCATTATTGTTATTATTATTATTATTAACATTATCATTATTATTTATTTATTATTATTATTATATATATTATTTATTATTTTATTCTTATTATTATCATTATTATTATCATTATTGTTATTATTATTATCATTATTATCATTATCATTGTTATTATCATCATTTTTACTATTATCACTGTTATCATCTTCATCATCATTATTATTAATATCAATGTTGATATCAGAATAATCATTTATATTATACTATAATTTTAATTGTTTTTATCATTTTTATTATTGTTATTACTATGATAATCAACTATTTTTTGTTTCAATTACTTTATTGTATTTTCATGATTATTATTGATTTTCTTGTTTAATTTTTTCTTATATCATTGTTACATCTTTTTTATCCTTTTTATTAAGTGTTTTTATCATCATTTATTTTGGATCATATTCATTTTTTAAAATCTGTCTTTCTTATCACTGTTGATTTACTTATTTATTTTTGTTTATTGTGTGTGTTTTTGATACTGATTTATTTGTCTAGTTGTTTGTTGGTGTTGCAGTAGGTCTTATACAACTTGTGGTATAACTTTAATATGTTTTATTCACGATACAATATTTTGACATAATCGAGCTATTGGTACACGGAATGTTCTTGTTCGATAGAGGCAGAGAATAACATGAACAAAAATGTAAAAAGAAAAGAAGAAGAAGAAGAAGAAGAAGAAGAAGAAGAAGAAGAAGAAGAAGAAGAAGAAGAAGAAGAAGAAGAAGAAGAAGAAGAAGAAACAAACAAGAAAATCAAAATCAAAAACACAAAATGATAGATGATAATAAGTCATGAAAATGCTAAGTATAACACTAGTAAATAATGGAAATAATAGAAATGAAAACTACAACAAAAACAATAATAACAAATTATCAAATAATATGAATACAGTACAACAAGTAAGGCAACGATAACAACAACAACGACAACACTAGCAGCTTAACAACAAACAACAGCAACAATAACAACGACAACCAACAACGAAACAACACACTACAACAGCAACAATAACAACAACAATACAACCCCAAACAGCAACATAACAAAACAGACCAACAACAGACAACACAAACGGACAAAAACAACAACAGCAAAAAACCCCAACACTACCCATCCAACAAATAACAACGACTACAACACAACATAAGATTTGAAAAAAACAACACAATAGTCGGATATCCATTAACCCTTTAGAAATGAAAAAACATCCTTACTGAGTTTGGTCCATCAACGAATCCTTTGATAACCACGAAGCTTTCGGTACAAACAAACATACATTTTTATTCGTATATAGTTCATGAAAAAACAAAAATAGATGAATAAACGGATATATAATAGATACGTTATAATAAGAATGTAAGTTATTAGAGTATGAATAAACAAATTAATAAACAAAAAACACAAAAACAAAAAACATAAAAGAAGTTTGTAGAGCAAGTTATGAATATAAGTAACGTTCATGATGAAATACACAGCTAAAATTATGCAGGCGCTAATGTACACAACACTGACCTATATAAAATGACACGTGACATATTGCTGTTAATCTTTCAGCATTAAACCGATAAGTCTTCATAAAAAATGCAGTTCCTTCGTGTATGTCTAAACAAATGATTGCACAAACACAGAGAAAATTCCCTTTCTGTATGTTTTGTGTTTGTGGTATTTAGTTACGCAGATAAGCTTATCAATTAAAAGGCGAGTTGTGGTGGTATTTAATTCGTTCAATGTGCGAGGCTATAACGTGGAAAGAGAGGAAATGAATTAATAGAAATATAAACTTATATTTATATCATCATTATTATCATTAATATTATAATTATTATCATTATCATTAAAATCATCATTATTACCATTATCATTAAAATTATCATTATTATCATTATCATTAAAATTATCATTATTATCATTGTTACTATTATTATTATCATTAGTAGTAGTATTGTTATCATTATTATTATCATTATCATTCTTATTACTGATATAATTTTTATTTTCATCATTATTACCATTATTATCATCATAATCAAGTGAGGAAATGAATTAATAGAAATATAGGCAAAATCATAGTGTGACTTATATGCACACATTCATAATATATATATGCCTATGTATACACATAACCACTCATGCACAAACACTCACACAATCACACACACTCAAAGTCAAAAACACACACACACTCACTCAGACACATACACAGACATCCACCCATCCCGCCCCCTAGACGTCTCCCCTCCCCACTCCCCCCACATAATGCACACACACACACACACACACATACACTCAAACCCACACACACCCACACACACACACACACACACACACCACGCACACACACAAACATACACACACACACACACACACAAAACACACCCAAAACCACACACACACCGCAAACACACACACTAACACACAAACACACACACACACAACACACACACCACACACACACACACAACACACAGCACACACACACATACCACAACACCCAAACCCACACACACACACACACACACACACCCACAACACACCACACCACACACACCACACACACACACCACACACACACACACACACACACACACACACCCACCCACACACACCACACACAGCACACACACACTACACCCCCCCCACACACATTACACCCCCCCCCCCACACACACACAGAGCCAACCCTTTCGTCTGCAAAGATCTGTCTAATCACTCAACACGGTTACACATCGTAGCAGGTAACAGGCAGCACTTCGCTCCTACGACCGGTATAAAAGCGAAAGACATTCCAATTCTAAGTCAGTCTCCCCTCAAGAAAGCTGAAAGACGGACGACCTCGCAAGGTAAGTGCGGGGGAAAGAATTCGGTTAATTCACACTTTCTCTTATAATTTTCTTTTATTATTGGTTCTTCCCTCTCTTCTTCGTCTCGTTCGAGATCTATTTTTTTTTTTTTTTATTTTGTTGGTTGGTTTCTCGTTTTCTTTGCTTGTTTTGCTGTTTTTTTCCGTTTCCTTTGCTATGTCCCTTCTCACTTTCTTTCGTATCTTCCCTACTTCTCTTTCTTTTATTCTCTCCCTTTCCCTCCTCCTCTCTTTTTTTTCCCCTGGAATCTTTCTATATTTTGCATTCTTACATTTCCTCTTGCCTCTCTTCTTTCCTTCTTTCACTTTCTCCATACACCCTTTCACTATCGCTTTCTTTTGTTTATCTTTCTCGCTTTCTTCGCCTCGTTCCCTTTGCTTTCCTTGCTTCTTCAATCCTTTTCTCTCCTACTTCTCCCTTATCTCTCCTTTCTCTCTTTCTCCCCTCTTTTCTTATGTCCCTCCCCTTTCTTCACATTCCTTTCTAACACTTTCTCATTATCTCTCCTTGAGCTACACCCCTTTCGAAACTTTCTCTTCTTCCCTTTCTTCGTTATCTTTCTCTTCCTATTCCCCCTTTTCACTCTATTTTCACATATTTTTCTTCTTCTTCTCTCCCTTTCGCCCTCTCCCCCCTCTCTCCTTCCCTCTCCCAACCCACTCCCTTCCCTCCCTCTCCCCTCCCTCGCTTCCCACTCACCCCTCCCCCCCCCCCCACCCCCCCTCCATGTTATCGAAAGCGTGACCGAGAAAAAAAAAAATCTTAAGGATGATCGTTTAATTATTCAAGCGCTGACCTTTTTTTTTTTTTCTTTTCTTTTCTTTTTCTTTTCCCTAAATTCTACTTTCATTTTTTTCATTCTAGTATTGTTATCTCTCAGTTCATTCATCCGTTCATTCATTCATTCTCGGAGAAAGTTCGCCGACGAGGAACCCCTTTTATTCGCAAAAAGAAAAGAAAAAAGAAAAAGTAGGGCAGATTTTCATTATTCAGTATTAATTAGCTAATCAGCACCTGTCGCTTTCAGTATATTATCTATTGCAAAGAAAATGTTTTTTTTTATGTTTTTTTTGCTTGTTTGTTTGTTTTTTGGTTATCATAAATTTGCTGTGGATAATTTTTTTGTTTGTTTTTCATTTGCGTCATTTTTCATACAGTTTCATTATCTATTTTCTCCTCTATCTATTTGTCTGTCTATCTATTTATCTATCTACCTCTCCATCCATCTATCTATCTATCTATATACCTACCTACCTACCCATCTATCTGTCTATCATGTCTATGTCAATCTATCTATCTATCTACATGTCAATCTATCTATGTCTATCTATCTATCTATCTATCTATCTATCTATATATCTATCTACCTACCTATCTACCTATCTATCTATCTGTCTACCATAAATAATTATAATAATAACAATAATAATAATAATACCTATCTACCTATCTATCCATCTGTCTACCTACATACCTATCTATCTATACATACATAAATAAACATTCGTGAATAGATAACAAATATAAACAAAACACATAAAAATGATTTCTTTGCCCATGACCTGAACATCAAAATCTCACCGCTTTCGTAAAAAAAAAAAAAAAAAAAAAAAAAAAAAAAAAAAAAAAAAAAAAAAAAATAATAATAATAATAAACAAATTAATAAATAGATGCAGATGAAGCTGACCTCGTCGCTAGTGCTGCTGTTGGCAGTGCTGTCATCGGTGGTGTCAGAGCCGACCTATAAGCGAAGGAGGCAACGGTGCTATCCCAAGATCCAGTATGTGCCTCACTACGAAACGGTTTACCAACAGGTCAGTTATGAGTTATGTGTTGTGTTATATGAGTTCTGTGTTGTTAGTCATGAGTTATGTGTTGTGTTATTTTCATGAGTTATGTGTTGTGTTATGTTCATGAGTTATGTGTTGTGTTATATTCATGAGGTGTATGTTATGTTATGTTCATGAGGTATATGTTGAGTTATGTTCATTCGTTATATGTTATGTTACATTTATTCGTTATGTTATGTTATATTCATTCGTTATATATAATCACCTCGCTCCAAGTAAAAACCCATTAATGCGAATTAAGTGCTAAGAAACAGATTTCATTTCAAGTAGACTTTGCAACTGCACAAAATATTGCAAGCTTTTGTGTGTTTGAGTGTAAATGGATGTGCTTGTTAGAATGGATAGGTGGATATGGTAACATTTAGTCGGTTAGTCATAGGATAAAATGGGTAAATGTGTGATATATGCGTATATAAGGAATGTTAATTGCAATATATTTTGTTGATTGATTCTATTTTCAACTCAACATAGACTATACAAAGGGAGAGAGAGAGTGAAAATATATATTTATTATCTATATTTGGTTATGACTATCATTTCTCCGCCGTTAGCTCTCATAATCTGTC